CCCCAAAACCCCAAAACCCCAAAACCCCAGTGTACTTTAATGACTTCATAATAAGTAATAAGATATCAAAACCTGCAAATATTTTATAATTATATCTCTTAAGAATTAACGTGTTTAAATAATTTATTCTGAATTCAAGAAGTTATTAATGCGAAATTTTTGATAGCTTCAAAATGTATTTGTTTGATTGGAGTTTAGTATCATGCTTTAAAGCAATTAGGTAATTTATATTTTATCCTAATCCTCCATTATTTGATAGTTTGAGTAGGCCTTTTCAATATTTGCTTGATCTTTATATACAACATACTAAAGATAGAAACCGAGGAACCACCCTACAACTATCTTGCAATCAAATCTATCAGTAATACCTCCATGACCTGGTATCTTATCTGCAAAATCTTTTATCTTGTATGCTCTTTTGAATCCACTTGCCATAAATCCTCCAAAAGGTGCAATCAAAGACGTAAATAAAGATATTGAGAGGGAATGAAGCTGAATTGGAGCAATATTCATTGAAAACTTACCGAATGGTCCTAAGTCAAAGGAGGTATCTTAATGAATGTACAATGGATCAATCTAGCAATTCATCTTTTGGAATATTTCAAAAGTGAGTTCTTATTATGGGCATACTAAATGCTTTATTCCACTCATGTAGCTTGACATGATAAAGCAAATCATAAATGATGAAAATACTCCTCCGATGAAACCCTCTACTGTCTTTTTAGGTGAGAGCTTAATTAGTGGAGTCTTACCAAAAAATACTCCGAAAAAGTAGGCGCCAATGTCATTAAGTACTACAGAAACAACTGGAAATGCGAACCAGAAATGGCCAAAATAGACAGCATATACAAAAGAACTTGCGCTATGTAAAAGTAGGATTCCAAGTACAATAGATTTGACCCAAGATTTTATTTGATATTAAAAGTGACCTTTCTCTATCAGATTATTTACTAGATAGATAATTGCAAAAACTATTGTGGCAAATAAAACTAGATAGTGATACTTGAATACAAGCAGATTAATGATTGAATCTTCCCCAAATGTGTGATCAGACATATATCTTCTCAGTTGAATATTGGGCATGAATAAGATTATGGAAGGAATAATACTTATACATTATACATATCTGAAATTAGTTTCATGACGAAGTTATATATCATCAGTAACATCTAAATAAGTTAATAAAGGAAATTACCTAGTATCTCGAAGAAGATACTTAACACGCTAAAAACTATCAAAGCAATCATATAAAAATGACCAAGAAGATTAATTCCAATGCATAATGTAGCAACACACAACCCCATTAATGTTCTAACTTTCATTGTTTTAAATTTCTATTTCTTATCTTAAATCAATTTAAGTCTTTTCAGCTCTGTCTCTTCTGCCTAAGTCTCAGTTTTCTCGTTTGATAATACTTTTGTTTTATCAAAAGCAACTTCATCTTGTTTTGATAATGTCTGATCAGGAATTTTTGCTAATACCAAATTTTTGCCCATTATTTACACTAATATTAAATCAATATTTACTTACTTCTAACTCCTTATTTTGTATTTAAGGGGTTTTGGGGTTTTGGGG